GCGCTAACGTGAAATGATATCAAACTTTTATTTCCCCAAATACCAGAGCTTGACTTTCATGACATGTGGTTACAACAAGACGGTGCCACATGCCACACAGCAGGCGTAACAATGAACTTATTGAGAGGCGAGTTCGATGAACATTTTATTTTATGTTCGGGACCGATCGATCGGCCGCCTAGATCGTGCGATCTAACGCATTTAGACTATATTTTGTGAAGCTATGTTAAATCTCAATTAACGCATTAGAAGACAACATCGAAGCATTTATTCGTGAGGGGAAGTCACAGTCAACATTTGCATGAAATAATCTTCAAACATTAAATTATATGGACCGTAATATCGATTCAAATAAAGATTTCATGCATTTTTCTGAATTTTGTGCGTTTTTTTTTAAAGATTTTCTATAGCTCTCAAAAAATTACCTTTTATATATTGTATGTAACATTTTATATTGCATTGAAAATTTTTATGTTTTTTTCAAATAAAATTTAGTGAACATATTAAATTAATTGTTGTGAAAAATAATATTAAAACTGAACGAGCAGTAAAACCACTTTCAAATGTTGATGATTAAAACTAAACCAAACTCTACAGGAATCTTAATAAAATTAAATTCGTCTTGCCTATCTACACAAATCTATGTATGTAAAATAAAAAACAAATATATTTTTCTAAAAAATATATATAGACATATCTGTTACTTATTTGAATTACTGACTATTTTTTTATATTGTCGCGTCCATTTTAATGTGCGCAGTAATATTTATGATTTTCTAAAAAAAATAGTAATAATGGCAAGGATAATAAATTAAAAAGAAAAATAATTGGCCAATTTTTAGTTGTTAATTTCTCAGTTTAATATGTTGTTAAAGTAAGAAAAAATATGGGAAATATTTTGAATATAAATTTTTTACATTTCGTAGTTTTTGGGTCACTTATGTATAGGGATATCCATTTCCTGGTTTCAAAAGTGCGGGGCTGTATTATGACATTTCTCATAGTTAACGGTCAAATGAAACATTTTCTGTTTCAGTTCAAAGTCTGACATTCATAAAAATTGATCGCTTAATAACCGCACAATACGTTAGAACTGTTAAAACCTACTACAAAACTGATGATTCAATTGTGGCCATTTTTCGTGTTTAAGAGAAAATTATGGCATACACAATCTTCGAACTAATCAAGCAATTGGTAAAATTTTTGAGAAATTTGAAGAGACTGGCACGGTTACAGATATCGTGTGGCCTCTGAATCATCATTTTGCTCATTCCACCTCAAATATCGCTACTGTAAGTGAAGCCGAAGACCACAATGTGCTTATTTCTCGACGTTCTCAAGAGATGGAACTTTTTACGGTAATTTCTGGTTTAGCTTGCACTTGAACCTACACCTTAATCCATACAAAGTCCAGCTCATATAACAACTAAAGCCCGCTGGTACACATACGTCAATTAGGTACTTTAACAACAAGCAGTGAAGGGCGATTTTTCGAAAAAGAATTTTAGGGACGAGGTACAATTCGCACCAGGATGCCACGAGGATGCCACCAGGATGCCAAGATACGTTAATAAGCAATTTTGATGCTTTTCGGGTTTCTAGAATTTTTATGTAATCTCTGGTGCGATTTTTGGTCTGTATTTCCTTATTTCTCTGAAAAAGACAATGCTAATGCAATCGTCGTTTAGCTTTTTGGGGTCGGCAAATGATTGAGCACGACTTGAACAATATGTGGTGTCAACAAGCCACACAACACGAGCGAAAATGTCCTTATCGCAATAGACATATACCGGCTGTGCAAACTCTTGTCTTGGCGATGTGAATTGGCCACCGATAAGATCCAATTTGGCACCGTTGTACTTTTTTGTAAAGCCATGCGAAAGACCGTGTGAAGTTATGGCGGAGATACGGACCAATATGTGCCAAAAAATGGTCGAAAATTACCTTAAAGGTATAGAAGTTTTGTAGAAATTCGGCAGGCGGTTATTTCTGGTAAGTCACTATCGTTGTGTATGGTCATGATAAAAAACAAGTCCCCTGCTTCTGCATGATTTCTTCCTTCAGACACGCAAAACAATATAGTCTTCGTGGCTGGAGAATGTTTGAGCCTGTAGTCCACCACCGTTTTCTTTTGATGTTACTGATGTAAGTGTTCCATTATCAACACCAGTCGCCTTCCACTTCGGAAATGGGCGTTTTTGCATTTCAGCAATGATGTGCAGATGAAATTTCGGTGCAAGAGGTATATTCTCGTTAACTCATGTGGCACCCATACAACGAGCCTTTCTCTGTGTCCAGCCAATTGATACAATTGGTACAAGTTGTACAGTGCCGGCATGATGGTCAGCCTCGACAATTTCCATTATTTTTGATCTACATTTTTGACGATTGGCCTTCCATGGTGTGGTAGCCTTAAAAAACGAGGAAAAGATGGTGTGTGTTGAGTCTCTCCTAAGCCGTCGTTTCCTATACTAGAACGATCGATTAAATCATTTCGTTGACGGTGGATTTAGTATTTGACACAATATGCTAGATTAGATCACATATGAGATACAAAGGAGTCTTATACAATGGTAATTGGCTGGACCAAGAGCCTACGGTCTCTTTATGGATTGGGCAGAGCACCTTCAACCTTAAAAAAAAAATAAAAATAAATTATTTGGGTATATAATGGATTTTGGAACTTCAAGGACGCTTACAGTTCATGTTCTTTGCATTTATTCAAATTTTCTCTTTCTTTTTGAAATTTTTTTTCGAAATTTCGAAGAGTTATCGCTATTAGAGCGGCCCAGCAATATCCAGCTCGACCCAAACTGTCCTGACTAATATGTAAAATCTTATTTGTTTGTTAGCTTCCAACAACAAATGTAAAAACGATTTCTGACTGAAATGCTCCGAAGACACACTTATAATATTTACACACGTTGCAAATCCTTAGCACTCGTCAGTGCAAATGCACGCTTTGACTGCCACTTCATTTGTAGTTGTCGAGACTTTTGACATTTGTTCTTTATGCGTGGTGTGAGCAGCACCAATTTTTCACCAACACCTCGCCAACATCTTGGTGCCTCAGCATTTCCAACGGTAACAGCAAAACAGTAGGCAAATCTTTACATTTTCCTGCTGTAACAACAACTGCAACAACAAAAGTGACTAATACATTGTTTATGATGTGCACCAGCAGCCGTCGAGCATGTCCCGCTGACAGAAAATGCAAAATGCAACAAATTTGTATGAAATTTATCTTCACGCTGTTGCAGCAAAGTGTCGGCGCTGTTGCAGGAGCAAAGTGCAAACAACTCAACGATAATGCAACAAATGTGTTTATGAGAATTTTTTTGCTATAAACTCACTCGTCGTATTATTTCCATTTTTCACTTTATTTTTTAATTTTTTTTTTTGTTACATTTGTTGTTTTTGTTATGGTCTAACTAAATTTGCTAACCACCACAACTGCGGTTGATGATGTTGCTGTTGAAGCCCGAATGCTGTTGCAGCTATTGTTGCAACACGGTAGCAAAGTGTCATCATCGAGCACAAATGCATTAGTTGCAGGCGCAACAACAACAACAATGGCTAACAACGAAATGGCATTAAGAAACTGAAATCAACAGGCGGCGGCATCTCATTTGCGTTGGCTGTGACGACGCCGCGTTGCACTGTGTGGCGAGTGATGACAAAAATGGCTAAGAAGTGCTAGATTTTATTGGAATGACTTCGACTGAGGCCAGCTACTTAATAATAAATGTATATAAAATGCTTTCAATATAAATTTTTTATGCGTTTTATTATAGAATTTGGTTCTTGGCATAATATTATATGAGAGACCATAAATCATTCAAATTTCCACTTCGCAAGTTTTTGCAAATTTCGATCACTTTGAGGTAATTTTCGGCCATTTTGTACCAAAAATTGGGCCGATTTGAGAGTTTTGAAAGCCTGCGATACTTACAAAATTATGATCTCTAGTCTTATTTCACCATCTCAACTGACTTATAATGTTGATGTGGTAAAACTATTTTTTTCTTTACAATAAACTACAATCCTAAGGAAGGCGAGTAAACTGATAACCGCGCTGAAATTCTAAGGACTCAAGTGGTATGGACATCTTAAAAGTGAATTGGGTTATGTCGAAATAGTTGGAAGATCCTGAAATAAGTGCCTATTTAACCAGGCTCTTTGATGACCGTGGTGGATGCAAACACTATTTCTAATTAAAAGACGTAATAGTTACGCGGAGCAACAATGGCTCATCGTATGTTGATCTTCTGAACCCATTCTGTTGCAGCTCCGATTAACATTAATTGAATTTCAAACATTTCAACTAGGTTCCAAAACTTTTAATGCATATACCAGAAAGCAGAGTTCTCGCTCCTCACTGTAAATCATCTGAGGAAATCCGCAGTTGAAGATAGAATACAGGACTTCCAAAGTTATTTCTCCAAAATTGTCCCCTGTCGATGCAATGCACTTATGCCAACGATTTTTTTTTCAATTATCGAAGCGACGCATAACCTTTAAATAATATTCCTAATTTACCGTTTGACCTGGCGGAAGTACTTCATAGTGCACCACACCACGAAAATCGAGGAAAACAGTCAACATGACCTGGATTTTTGAGTGACTTTGACTTGATTTTTTCGAACTTTAGCATGATATTCACTTGATTGACGTTGATGGTCGTCCCGAGCGCTTCAAATCATCAACGCGTTCCTGACCCTCTTTAAAGGCTTTGTGCGAGCTAACAGCCGGCTATTGTATTGTATATTAAAAGACCTCAACCCAAAAAAGATCATCATCATCATCAGCTTAATCTCCATCAAGATCCACTCAATCAATCCGGCATCGTTCTAAATTTCAATACTACTTTTGTAGAACGCCTTCCTCCAATTTGTAGGTTTCGGGTCTTGATGTTTTTTCAACAAATGGAGGACTTACAGTTTTTGCTAAGCCGCCTCCGACTGGCTGATGGTTTTTTATGAGGAGCCTTTATTTCATATCCGAAATACACTCGGATGGGTCGACATTTCCTGCCGAGGGTTTACCGCAATTAGAAAGTTTAAGTTAATTTTTTATTTAAAACAATTTTCTTTAACTTTTTTGGATGTTCGTACGACATCGGGATTGAAACCGAATGGCAGTACGCAGTGCTAATCACTTGGCTACCGCAGCCTCGAAACAGTCCTCAGTTTTAACGGTAAACTCTTCAACATATAGTCACTGGGACATCTAGCGAATACGGTAAATTTGATTAAGTCAATAATATTTGGGTCAATCAGTCTCAAAACACCGAGGCAATAACTTTTTCAACTGATTCTTGTGCTTTCAGAAGGTTTGGACGGGTTCACCAATTTTCGTCCGCTCAGATGTCTATCGGTTTGCATGCGGCACCCATTTTGAGCAGAAATTCTTTGATGGTTTCTGTTTTTTCCGCCTAATTTGTACGTTTAAAGGGTTCAGAAAGTTCATAATGATACCGGTCAACAATTAAACGAGTGTAAAGGCGATTCGTCGACACAATGGAAAATTGTATTGATTAATTTAATGCAAAGAACTTAATTCCAAAAATTAAAATATTGAGGTTATGCGCTCATATTGACGATAAGTTAAAATATTGCACTGTTCTGGAATGAAAAAAATAAATTTTTATAATGAATGAATGAATACCTTTCATTTTTAATATTTTTATTTAAACGAATAATTCTGGTATACTTGTAAACCTCGAATATGTATATAAAACCAAGGGAACCACAGTCTATTGATAATTTTTTGGGCATAACTTTCAAGAGTCCAATTCACTGTGCGGCGTGAGGAGTTCATTTCGAATGTGTGCATAAATTTAACTGTTGAACCTGTTCAACGCGTCTTTAAAAATATACAGACATATGTACATATAGTTATTAGATACAAACAAAGCCTTTATATTACTATTGTTGTTGCTCACTTATAGTTGTTATTGGCTTTCGGTTGGCATAATGTTTTTCCTTCTTCATTTCCATGCAAACATTTGCATAAGTTTGTCATTCTCTTTCACATTCAAAAAAAAAAGGAGCACTTCATCAAAACCTCGGGATGTCTATATATGTATGTTCGTATGCAAAGTAAATTATTCTGCTTTTTAGTTATTTAAAATTTCACAGGACGTGTGACGTTGTTGATGTTTGTTCAAAGCACTAAAGAGACCAAGGTTTTTAGTCTTTAAATATACAACTCAAAGGAGATTATGTTTTGAGTGGAATTTTTGAAGCTAACTAAAGAAAAATTCGTTTTCTTAAAAAAAATTTCTTTAATTTTTGAATGTTGATCAGATCATGACTCGAACTCAGGCCTTCCGAGTGGCTGTATGAGCTGCTTACCACTCGGCTATCGCAGACGACGATAAGCTATATATATTCAGGGGTTAGATCCACTTCTAATTTTCAAAAAATCTATTTGCTTTTATATTTATGAACATATATTTTTCGAAAATCATAAAAAAAGAAAATACAAAATAAAAAAATCATATAAATCATGTTTAGTAAGCGCACATATATGTATAATAAGTTGATCCAACAAACAGTTTCGTAGATATAATCGTATCATAAAGAACGTCACGAGGCTTTCGAAAATAGGCGGAGCAGTTTAGCTTAGTGTAAAAGGTTCGCAGCATTTTTCTCCGAGCGCTGTTTTTGGAGTGGGGAAGAAAGTTTTGCTAAGACAGCTAAGCCGATTAGTTTAAAATTACCACACGACCTCCTAAGATTTTTTAATGTGTTAAATTTCTTACGAAAAATGAATTTTTTTGAAGCCGTCATTTTGTCAGAAATCAAAGTTTTCACTATTCTTTTGACCATTATCTGTATTCATCAATTTTGATAGCAATTTTTTTGGTTTTCGGGCTTAAGATAATTTGGAACAGAAATATCTACCTCCCCGCCAGACACCCTTTCTTTGAAGCTCTTCTGGAGATCGGCTACTGGAACAGGGGCACTTAGTATTTTCTTAAAATGAATTGTTTATTATTAAACTACATTAAATTCTGTCGATTGAAATGAGAAGAATAAAATTCTTCTAAAAAATTTACAAAACTTGCTGGGAGAGAGACTTTCTTTACTTTACTGGAACGATGTTGTTCGCATTCAGAGTTCCTACCAGGTTTAACTGTGCCCCACATCCCGTTTGCCATCTTGTGCACTTGAAAAATGTGTGTGAGGTACTGCCTCTGGTAGCATCATTATATATGGAGGACAGCTCTTAGGCTTTGCCTATTTAATGTAAGTATTTCTGAAAGCACCCGTATCCAGACAACATCTGGAATATATAACAATTCACCTCGCCGAATTTTCTATGTGACCAAAGTTTCACGTCTTTTATTACCATGACCGTCCGTGCAAGTTTCTCTTACCCATCGACTCTGTCATCGGTTGTACGTATCTACAATTATTATGTCGTCCTCCTCCCCTTATTGTATTTATACATATTTCTTGGTTTGTTAAGTCCCAGATTTTCTACCTTTCGCGTGCTAGTAGTTTCACGTGACACTTTTCGGTATACTGACTCTACCCCTACGATATACTTTGGCTATAATCTTGTGGCAGTTATCTCTCTAAAAAGTGTCCGCCCATGGTTCTGTCTCATTAAGTAGGGAGCTAATAGTTGCTGACATCAGTAGTTTTCTTTTCTCTTGTGTGGGTCCTCCAACATCAGCCTGCTCAGCCGGCTTGTTATTTTTGAGGAGTTTTCTGCTGCATGTTGCATTTCTGTTTTTGAGAGTAGTCTTTTCATAGCGTATCACCTAGAGTCGAAGAAACAGTGTAAGGATGAAAGTTGTCGTCTAATATTAAAAAGAAAACAATGATCGCCTGGTAATGTGGTAATGTTCTCAGTGTGAAAGATTTCGAGAATTGAAGAATTGGTCATAGAAATATAGCGCTTCAGTGCTGCATGAGTACAGAGATCTTAGGCCGCTGTGGAAAAGCTCGAGTAAGTGCTGCGACTTGCAGTTTTTTGAATATGAAACAGATAACTTAGTGTAAGAGTGTTGGCTAGGCAGAAGTCTTCCCAACGTTGCGACCTCTTGATGCCAGTACTATAATTTATACTATTGAAGTGATATAAAACGGCTTTACGTAAGATTCTGTTTTTTACATTCGAAGCAGAAATAGACCTTTCATTATTTTATATATCAATATTACGAGCAAATAAATTATTATCAAAAAATCTGACCGCATTTTTTAATCAACCATTTTTATTTAAATGATCAAAAGTGCTACGATTATTACTAACAAAAGAAAAATGTTTCCCACAGTCGTGAGAACCTTGAAGAAGCGCGCACAAATAGTTTGACCAACCAAGGGCACAATAGAGACAAATGCGAGCTGCGTAACGGAGCGGGCAGTGTAGTGACATTTACATAATGTATTTTGCGGTTTATCTATTTATTTATTAACAATAATTTTAAAGTATTCATATTGATATGAAAGTAAGTGAGCCACATTTCGATATTATCGTGAGCTGTCAAATTAAATGAATTTAATATAAAAAATGTCAAATAAGTTGGTATCGTATTTTATTATAATTAACTTTGAATTACGTTAAACAATTTTATTATAATTGCTTGGTGAGCGGTACTTACCAATTTATTATTAACGCTATAACTGATTTTATTTTTAGTTTTTATATACACATATAAATAACACAATTTATTCTGGGAGTAAAATATCATGTCAGCTGATATCTGATGTGCTTTATATGAATATTATTTTAAGTCAATTATTGTATATTAAAATATTTAAAATGAAGTTCGAAGCTACAGCTCTACTTCTATTGCTGCTGAGAATTTGTTAAAGAATTTTTCTATTGTTCTGCTGTGAAATACTGGAATGTCTTGTATGAAAGAAAAAAGAAACTAACACAAAATAAAATAAATTAAAATAAAAAATGAAATTAAATTAAAATTAAATAATGTCAAATGAAATAACATAAAATAAACCAAAATGAAAAAATTAGTATGAAATAAAAGAAAACAAAATAAAAAAACAACAAAAAAATAAAATTAAAAAAATAAATAAAATGATAAAAATAAAAAACAAATGAAATAAAATTAAAAAAATTAAATAAAAACAAAGAAAAAATAAATAAAATAAGACAATCCAAAAAAAACAAATACAGTTGAAATGAATTGAAATAAAATAAATTCTAATAAAAAATAAAATAAAAATAAATGAAATGAATAAAAATAAACTATCGTAAATTAGAATAAAATAAAATTAATAAAATACAGTAATATAAAATTAATTGAAATAAAATTAAAAAAAAAAATTAAATAAAATGAGATAAAATATAATAAATAAAATAAATTAATATGATATAAAAAATGAGATAAGACAAAACAAACTAAAAAAAATTAGGTGAGAGGAAATGAAATGAAATAAAATTAATAAAATAAAGTAATGTAAAATTAATTAAAATAAAATAAAATAAAATTAAATTAAATAAAATAAAATAAAATAAAATAAAATAAAATAAAATAAAATAAAATAAAATAAAATAAAATAAAATAAAACAAAATAAAATAAAATAAAATAAAATAAAAGAAATTAAATGAAATAGTTTTAAATGTTGTACAATAAAATGAAATACAAAATGAAACAAACTAAAATAATATAAAATGAAATGAATTCAAATAATTTTAAGTGTAATAAAATAAAATGAAATTAAAAAAAGTAAAAGTAAAATGTTAAAAATAAAACAAAACGATATAAAATACTATAAAATTAAATTAAATAAAATAAAAAAATAAATAAAATAAAGTAAAACAAAATGAAATAAAATAAAATGAAATAAAATGAGATAAAATAAAAAAATTTAATAAGTCAAAATAATATAAAATAGAATTTAGAAAAAATTGTATAAATTAGCTTAAGTAAAGCAATTGTTATAATTATTAAATATTTCTTTAAAATACTTAATGAAAACTAGTGAAATTACAATGAAACGTTGGGAAGAACCTGATAGGTTAATGGCAATGTTAGGCGATGTTATCGTATGCAGAAAATCTTCTGAGTATTCACACTCTTACTCACAATCAGTAGTGTAATCTGTTTAATGAGCGGTTAATGTTGTTGACACGTTACGCCAACAAGGAGCAGATAGCTATTAATGGCTCTAACAACATATTGAACTTAAAACTTTAGCTGTAAGTAATGCGTTGTTGAGTAGCAACTAGATAAATGTCGCTTGAAAAGGCAGACGAAAATAAAATTGCAAATTAACAACAAAGCAAGCTACAAACAATGCGTTCTGAATGCCTTTTTATGAGCGGTAGTTTAAACGTTAAAGGAACTTAATACTAATGTGTTTTCTACGCTGGTTAGATATGAAGTTTTCCGTCATTTCTCTGCATTAGTTTGTTTTTAAATTCATAAAATTGCTAATAAAAGTGTGAAATTGCAATATTGATACTTGCGTTGCATTGAAATGCCACATTGTTGCAAGCGTTTGTTTGCGGACAGTAGCAGCAATTTATAAATTTTAATCGCTTGAACAAAAGGCTTGGCAACGGTTAGTAGTGTTGCAAGTTATTTTTCTTTTTTTTTTTTGCCTTTTAACAACAATAATCACCTGTTGCATTTAGCACTTTTCA